TTAAGGAGTGGCGAAACCAGGCTAGCGTACGCAGTAAGTAGGCTGTACATGGATGCATAGGCAGGCTAACCTCAAGCGAGGGTTTCCTGGTCCGGTTAGCAACGAATGAAGGAACGGATCCTGGTAGAGATCACCGCAGTAAAAGTTTATAGGGATATTACCCAGAATAGTGGAGAATTACATGAACAAGAAACCCCAATATCTCCCATTTACACAGATTCACGGTAACTCCCTTTAAGCTCCTTAACAGTAAGTCAGAAGTTTACTTACGGTTGAGCAGTGCTTGGGGCAAGGGATTTCAAATTCTAAAACCTAAGACCCTAAACCCTAAGTCCTAAGCCCTAAACCCTAAGCCCTAGACCCTAAGCCCTAAACCCTGAGCCCTGAACCCTAAGCCCTGAGCCCTAAACTGCCAGCCACGGCAGCTCGGGGTTGACGAAGTCTTTGGATTCCGAGTACGGTTACCCTCCCCCACATAAGCTACTGTCTAAACTCCTCAGCGGGGTTACATTGGGATAATGGAGAAGAAAATGGAAGCTACTTGATAGGGGTTGTTGAGGTGGATACGAGGAGTTTAGACTATAGCCCAAATAAACATGGAACCTGTAGCCCTTTACAAAAGTATAGTATTCTATATAGACCCCTTTGGGTAGCATAAGGCTCTAATGGGTTGCGATTTCCAGGTCTTCCCCTATTAACTACGTGGGACAGTCTTGTTTAGGCTTGAAGTAGAACCCTGACGGTTAAGTATGGGGGTTCCCTATCCTGTCAAATTCCCACATGCTATGCCCAGCAGCTAGTTCAGGGTGTAGGTTTAGGCTTATCACTAGTACCACTGCAGTCTCACAAAAGGCCAAGGCTTTAGTACCTTAGCACGGAAGACGCCTCGGAGCTTCCCATGCTCATGATGGGACCTCCTCGCGTAAGGCTTGATGATTACACGAGTCATAGTCTCAACTCCTTAAAGGGGGGTATATAGGGGTTCTATAGGGGAGTATTATAAGGGTTATGAAGGGGGATACGAGGATTAAGACTATAACTCATAAGGTTTAGGGAGACATTGACAGAAAGCCTGCACTAATTCCAAACGTTAGAAGGCAAACACATTTCACACATAAATGATTGCCTTGTTAATTCTTCGTGCGCTCCAAGTAAGAATCTTCAACATAAAGGCCCCCACCCTGGTACTGCTCATCATGAAACACCCATGTTACGTGTGTTCACTCTAAACCTTCAATCTCACCTGGAGCAGGCACCAAAGGCAGCTGGAAGCATGTTGCCCTCGAATCCAACCATCTCTTCAAGACCTCCTCAATCCACGCGACTCCTGCAAAACCTACACCTAGACTCTGATTGAACAGCGTTATTGGTCTTTTGCTTGTCTCTAGCCCGAAGAAAACTCGTGACAGACATCTCTGACAGCACTAAGGATTCCTACATGTGGATCCAAGCCGGAGGCCATAACAGATGGCCCCATTCCCGTAGACGAGCGCCAGCAAGACACGGAACCTCGAGTCATTTTACGAGAGGTCATGAAACGGTTTGGTGTTCTTGGGATTGTGGTATCGGTTGAGGTTTACCGGGGGTTCTCAGAAGCTGGGATGGGATCGCAGTTAACGCTCAATGGAGTCCCTGCTAGCATTTGGGCTTAGGGCCTGGATGCAGGTTGCAGATATTTCAGTTTCTGGTCCGGTCCTCGCCCTACTTCCTGACACTCAAGCGCTAGAAGTTTGCTGCTCAGTGCAATCTTTAGGATTTGAAGTTTTGAGGGAAGAAGTACAGTCAAATCCAAGGTAGAAAAGCTCTCCAGTCACAACCCATTCCCGTCCCACAGCGAGACACTCAAGTTTAGATCACCGTTGCACCCTACAGCCCCTGGTTGGAGTCATAATATAAGCTCCTTAAACTACTATAGGGAGTAGTAAGGGGGGTTCTAGGATTCTAGGACGGTAGCTCTGCTAGAGTCATAATTAAACCTCATGGATGCAATGGAGGGCGGGATCCCTGTAGTAATCTGTATTTAGAGATTGCCCAAAGATAGGGGTACTTTATTGGAGGGGTCCCTATGATAAGGGTTATAATATGTTTGGGTCTACAATGGGGTCCCCCGATTCAGGGAAAGTATTTCATGATCTCTTGCAATGGGCCTATAGCCCGTTGATTGCTTCCTGGGTACTTAACCACGTCTAAGATATGGGGTGTTTCCGTAATTTTTCAACCGCCGGCCGCAAACTGAGATTCCAATATCTACAATCCTTGCAGGGTCTCCAAGCAAGGGGCACTGGTTTTGGGAAATCCTGTGTGGAATCCCCCTCTCCCTGGACCCGAAACCCTAAACTGAGTCTCCAAGGAATGGATCCAAAATCTCTTCGAGCGACTGCCTGAGCTTGAGGACCGGCATGGCTTGTGAGTGCTGTTGAAGGGTATGTGGAGGCAGGGAAAGGGCTTATGGCTTCGGATTGAGGAGTTGCGGCTAAGGGGTTGGGACATGCGATGATACAGGTCAGGAGTGAGCTTGCGCTTCATGATCTGATGGTACAGGAGGTATTCAGGCAGTAGAACCTGTTGAGATGGTCCCCACTTGTTCCTGTCGCAGCAGTCAATTGGTCTCGCAGTGTTCCATTTCTTGGGCGAATGCATGCTAAGACATGATCAAGCCAATGGAGTCTTCACATGATTCGAAGCATATTCCCTGAATCAGAAGGGCACGGGGAGGGTCTGCAACAGATGCCATACTTGCTGCCGCATGTGCCGTTAATTTCTTTCGGCAGGCTCCTGAGCATTGGGTGGAGGGTTGGGCCAACTGGGGTGAGGGGTTTGGGGCTGCTCGGTTGTCGGCTTTGGCATACATGTCCATGGTGTACTTGCCGTGTAACGGAGATGCTCGTAACGGGACTGACGATAGCTGATGTCATACTGGTGTACAGGGACTGCAATACCCACTGGAGAAGGCTGCAGTCTTACCAGCACATGAGAAATGATGGTGGGATTCTTTCTGCCTATAACGTATTCCCTCTTCTATATAATCGTTGAGGCCTCAGATCTTTACCATAAAGTAACTCGTGGCTACCCATGAGTTAACCATGTCTTGACATCTCAAGAAACCGAAGCTGCCCCTGTGAAAGAGGATCCCGTTGGCCCCCATTGTACCATCCCTGCCCTAAGCGTTCAGGGTGTAAGGTTGAGGGCATCGGGGCCCCCATAAGAAGGATCTCCCTGGCTCTCTAGGCTCCACAAGAAAATCTGAGTTCGGGTGCCTTCAAGGAGCCGCCGGTGAAGACGGCGACGCTCATGGAGGTCTTCAGGGCAATGGTGGACATGCCCTTGGAGGAGCTTTTGCCTTACATTTGGTAACCAGGGAAAGGAGGAATATTCCTCTATAGTCGGTACTCGGAAAGAATCCATGCATTCCGTCATTCCCGATTGACCGCCTGAACCGCAAGTTTGCTGGGGTGGACCCGAACTTTTCGGATTCTTCAGCAGCAGGCCTGAACCGTGTCCTTTGTCAGTGGTTGTTATGTTTAACCAGCCCACACCATGAAATCTGTCGCAACTGAAATGGTGCATTCGCATGTGCATTTAGGTGAGTGTAGCTGAGTCCTTTGCATTCCCTCTTCTTGTGGGTTTTGGCATGTCAGAGCCATACAAATCAAATCAATATAATTCGCGTGTCCCAAAGCAAAAGCCTGGCAAGGCGGCATGAAGGGTAGCCGGCCTCGGCCCGTTGGCCTCAACGCTCAGCCCCCAACTCAACAGTCCCAAACTGAGAATGTGTAGAAACCCCTCGGGAAGTAACGGAGACAGTGCCTCAACCTCTTAAGTACCAAGAAACTCAAAACTCCTTACGCCCCGGAATCATGGGAAGGAGCAGAGATATAGACTTGAGTGTCTGGCACCCTTAGTGCCACGCTTGCTGCTGGGCCGTATGTTAGGGGTCTAGGTTTTTTGGGGAGGGGTCTCAAAGGCGGTATGCTAGGGCCCTTTCGGGGTGGATTGTTTCATCCGGATGCCCCTCAATTACTTGTATTTGGCTGTCCTTTCCTCCCAAGTATGCCACGTGAGCCTATGTAATCACTGTGCCAGGATGTGCTCGACACTCGCTGGGCATAGAGGGGGACTGTGTTTCGAGTATAAAGAACTCGCGATTGATTCAGGTACTGGATGTTATCAGTCGAGCTTTGTCTGTATTCCTTTCATTGCTTGGTCTTCCGCCAGACTGCGCTCCTAGTAACCTTCAGTGACAGGAATACGCGGGACGGCACAGTAGAAAGAATCATGGTGATGATGTGCATCGATGGAATAAGACTCGCAGAGAAGATGACAGTAGTGATAAATGTAGCTACATGACAATACTTCCTGCTCCTGGGATGCTACTAACTTGCCTCGGGCCTACTGAAACAAACGCCTTGTGGAGGCCCCCACAAGAGAGCAGGGCAATGCATGTTTCACAAATTCCTGAACGCTGGCTGCTTAGAGCCTCCTACAAGATTCCTTAGGATGGCAACCGAAGACGTGAACCCTTAGCTACCCTAAGCTGCTTCCTTCCCGGTTCCAAACTAAGAGTATGATCAACCCAGAATCTCCCACCCTAAACCTGAAAGCCGCTACACCCCAGGCCCTCCCTAAGCTTACATATTTCCACAAGGGAATGAAGGAATGGATCCTTGTAGTGATCATGTGCATTCATTTGTTCCCTGCTCACAAGAAGGTGAGAAAGCTCTGAGTATCAACCACGAAGCCCGAAGGCCTTGAAACTCGCGGTTTAAGGTTTCCCAGGAATAGCATTGAACTTACCGTGAAAGTGGAGAACGAAGGAACTGGTCATGGGATCCACCCTTGGGACCCATTCCTCCAAACGCTAAACCCTAAAGCCTAAACTCCCCCTATCATGGTGGTTCCCCGGCTCCCTCTTAACCACCTCCGAGTGAAGGATTGGGGGCTATGCCGACGAGCTGAAGCAGAAGACGGTACCCCCGGAACTGGCGGACCTCAAGGTTGTGATGAACTCTGCCCCTGAGCTGGGGGATTTGGGGGGAGGGTGGGTGGGTGTTCGGGGTTTCAGGGTTTGAGGGCTTCGGCCTTGGTTTAGGGTTTCAGGGTTGGAGTGCTTAGGGCTTAATTAGGGGTCTTGGTTGGGGATTTCAGGGTTTAAGGATTTGGGGCGGTTGGGCTAGCGGTTTTCAGGATTAAGTCTGGGGGCTTTGGTTCCGCAGCCGGGTTGGAAAGACCTCAACTTACACTTACCGCTGCAGATGAGGCTGATGAAAAGGGCAGTTCTAAAGCAGGTTTGGGGTGCATGGCATTCCGCCTGAGAATAAAGCCCCATGGCCCATAGTACAAGCACCATGTTATAATGAAGAGGATATTGATTGTTAGGGTGGTTGTGGTAGTTGAAACATCCGGCTGTGTGTACGTTGGCACCGTTGTTCCGTGCAAGCTTTGTACGTTTGCCAAGTGTTGCTGTTCTTAACTCCAAACGAAGCGCTGCGAACCTGACCTCAAAATCAGGTCCTGCAAGACGATGCCACCACCTTTGCCATAGAATTGCTTGAGGAGGTGTGGATGCCCAATGGTTGGTCTTTGGGCTTTGGTTCGTTTGTGAGTCTTGCGAGAACTTGGGGAGAACTCATAACGAGGGGTTGTCTGTTCTCTCCAGATCTTGGGGTGTCAGAGTTGCGATGTGTAGGTTCTAGAGCCACGTAGATTGAGGAGTGTAGCAACGTAGGAAGCGATTGCGGGGCTGTTGCATTTAAAGGTCGTAAACTTGAAGTGTTTGGGGCTTTCCTCGCAAAGTTCCCCCCTGGTAGGCGCCAGAGGTTACTGCGTCCGGAGCTGTGATAAGTTCCACCTAAGGTGTTGTTTGCAGGCGTTTTCTCCGAGCTTTCTTTCCAGGAGCTACTTCCTTCCGGAACCCCAGCCTCCAGCCTTCAACTGTTCAACCTCAAAGAAGTCCCACCCTGAAACCCATAAACTTGAGAAGATAGGTCTGACACGCAAAGCTCCAACAAAAAAGCCCGAAGCTCCCACAACAGAATACTGGAGTCTCTAAACGGCCACGTCACGAAGTTAGGGTTTTCAACTTAGTTCTGGGGAGGAGAAGTTCCTGAGACCCCACTCTGCAGGTGAGTTTCTACCCCTGCCTACTGGACTTCACCACCAAGCGTGCCATGATTCATGCCCAGTGCGACCGCGTGCGACTCACACAGGCGTGTAGAGCATGAGGCTGTGCTTTAGAGATTAGGGTTACCTGTTTCTTGAAACGGTGCATGGCTTAGGGACTAGCGGTTTTTACAACTTGAGTGTAAGAACTTGGGGTTTCTCGGGCATGGGGGCAGAAAAATGTCAAAGACTTTCTTGAAGTCGCAGCAGGAGGGAGTTCTGCCTAGGCACCATGGTTTTGCTGGTTCGCAGCCCTTCGGCTACTTCGTCCAACGCTCATTGGTGTGAGGTAAGAGGTATTCAGTCAACATTTGAGCCATAATGTAAACTCCAAGTATCCCCCTGAACAAGCCTTACAGTAGTCCCCGATATAATCCCCTAAAAGGAGTGTAGACTATAGCTCCTCAAACCCTGAAAGCCCCGGACAGCAACTTCTACGACCTGAAAAGTTCCTATGACATGTTCTTCTACGAAGAATCAGAAGCCTCAAAACAAGTTTCCGGATCACTCCTTCCTTTTACGAGACATGTTAAGCCCCAAGCCACATTCTTCCCCACCAGCTGAGTAGGAAACATTCAACCGAATTCTGCTTTGTGGCCCCTGAGGATTTTACCACTTATAAAGGGACTCTACTGGGAACCCCAAATAGGGAACCCCAAGAATATAGCAGGTATATAATAGGAATATACCTA